TTATCATATATGTTAGCTATATCCATTCATGATTATTTAGGAAATAACACATGACAATTGATATATATAGAAGTTCTTTATACAAGCATAATTAAAAGCCCCAAAATAAAAAAAAAAGTACATATTTTGATTATTTTGATTAAAAGGTTAAAAATTTTGAGAAGTAAATGATCATAAAGGTGTATACCAAGTATACCATAACTTTGATATAAATTTGTAATAACTTATTGTATTCTTAACTAAATAAATAATAAGCTATAAAAAGTAAATCATTGGTTGTAAAAAAAATATTAAAGGGCAAAGAATAATAACTCTATTAAGAAATATCTCTCCGAATCAGGATAACTGCAACCAATAGTTTATACATGATTGAACATGAAATAAAAAAGTCAAAATTTTGTTTACTTTGCAATTCAAATATTCTCTATTATATCACTATATTTTAAACTTCGATGAATATGCTACAAGTAAAATTTGAAAAAGTCATATATAATTTCCATTATTTTAGGCTGTAAATTCTATAAATATATTTGACGTAAAAACTACAAAAAATTGATTCTACTCGTATTTTTACTTAAAAAATTATAATATTTGGAAGGTAAAAAAAAAATGTCATTATGACAGTCCCAAATTTTGATGAACTTTTTTAAATTTTTTTTGCAAATATCCACAAAACAATGTCAGTACCTCAAAATCCATATAGGTCTTGTGGTTAATTGACAATGTCGGTGAATTTGAAGAATTTTTTTGTATTGACAATTGTCAGATTGCTGAAAAATTGATTTCATTTTTTGCCTGTTACACACGCACTTTTTTACGTATTTATTACACAGTTCTTGTAAGTTATGAAATGGTAGATTTTATTTTATTTTATTATCTAAGAAAATAGAATGGAATTACGGATATATAGTACATAAAACTATTCATAAAGAAAAATTCGTACGAATTAAATTAATGAAATAAAATGTTCCATCATCCATATAGAAACCATACAAGCCCACGTTTTGTATAAAAGTGAAACAAACATGGTCCAAAAAATGTGGAAGGTTAAATACGAGAAAGGGAATAAATGAGCAATTTAACACACGGAAAGTCATGTGATTCGCAACCGTCACAATAGATTAAATATGTTTGTCATGCCTCACAGGGTTCATTTTTCTTAATTTACAAATTGTCATTTTTTTATTACAGTTACAGTCGATCATCGATGGTTAAGAACCTTGACGACCAATAAAAATGATCATCCGAATTTATCTATTAAATTTCTTTTTTTTAAAAAAAAACTTATAATCATTTTGCTTAAAATGATTGGTCGAAACGGTCGGTCAACGGGTTCAGCCCGTTCAGACAGTAGTCACCCCAGCCAAATGATCGACATAGTTTCTAAGCTAAGTGGGCGTGCACTACATCCTAGCTTATAAACTGCCCATGGGCCAGATTAGCCCACGAGATCTGATTGGTCCAAACAACTTACCAACATATAATTACAAATAAGGCAAATTTATAACTTTTGAAAAGATATTTACTTATAAACTCATGGTCAAGGATTGCATTAATGTACATTTTGTACCACCTTGTAACTATAAAAAAGGCAAAAAATTTTCAAGGTTACACATTAAATTGGCCAGAATTAAGATAATTTCGCCCAGCAAAATTTGGCCGGAATTATAAAACGGACATAAATGTCCGTTTGCAAATTTGGCCGGAATTATAAAAACGGACATTAATGTCCGTTTTT